CATTGCCGTTTCGCGCACATCAACGGCTAAAGAGCGAGCCGAACAAGCAATGTTCGTGGCCAAACAGGCTCGAGACGATGCCGAAATGGCGAGAATGGAAGCCGAACGTTTCGATCCTAATTTCAAACCTCAGAGTGAGTTTGCCTTACCCGAACTTTTTCCATGGACTTTACTGTTTTCATCTTTGATTGGCTTGAGAATGACCTCTGAGCCGCGCGTGTGGTTAGGCGGCCCTCCAAACAGCCTTTTTTTGGTAATTTGACTCGTTTGCTAGAAAGAATCGATCGGCGGTTACTTCAAGACGAGCGGTCGTTTCGGCTGTAGAGCCCGGATCATCGTTATGTAAAATCCATCAGCCACTCCAGTCGCTGGGGGTCGCGTTTGTCCTCGAAAATTTTCCGATTGCTGGTTTTCCCTTTGCTGCACCTCCGTAGATGATAGTGCGTCAGAACTCCTATTTCTAAGGCTTGAACCGGTGACAAATGGAGATGTTGCTGTCCCCCCCCCCCCCGAGACAGACCAACTCGATGGCGGGAGCACTAGTGATGCAGGTAAAACCAGAGGCGGAAAGGAGGAGGGTTATTCAGACACCACAGTTTCACCCACCCGTGCTCAAGGCATTCCAAACCATCACGAATATTTTATTTTGTGTGAAACCCTAGAAGAGTCAGTCATTCATTCGAACCTGCTTTCTTTGCCCTCTTCCTCATCCCTCAGAAAATTAGGATTACCGTAATTGTACGAATAACTGCACCAAACTACCTTCCTATATTGGACTAGTGCCTTTGATTACTCTCTAGCAGCACTCACAAGGTAAGGGCACGTCGGCTTCACCAGCTATGAGGGTCGTATTTGGTGGGTGGAGGCGTTTGAAGCGCGCTTTATACCCCCCCCCCCTCTAACCGCTCGGCGGCAATTTTCTTTCTGTGGAAAAGTGGAGGAACTTCTCGAAAAGAAAAACTCCGTAAAAGTGGTAAGAAGTCGAGAAAATTCAGGAAGATGGTAGGTAGGACAGGAGATGGGGAAGGGGAGCGTACCAGATGAGGAACTCTCGAGCAAAGTGTCGTATTTTGCAAAAATCTTCTCCAACGCTTAGACGTGCCTTTCACAAGGTTCGGCATCATCATGGGAATGTCACAAAGGACAGGATGGATGGGCGACTAGTATGACGTGTAAAAGGAGTTGACCG